GTTAAAAATCAGATCAGATTATCTCAAAATGGCTTATGAAGAAGTACTATTTCCGGTAGTATTCACTGGAAAGAAAAAGTATTTTGGCATCTCCCATGAAGATACCCCAAACTTCAAACCCGAAGAGTTTTTTATAAGAGGAATCGACACTGTGAAACAGGGTAAATCCCAAGTTTTCAAAACTATAGGGGATCGGATTATGTGGGGAGCCATGGATATTAACAATGACCGATCACTCTATGATATTGCTGAAGACGTTCTCAGGGATGCTTTAGTTAATACTAAGCAATGGAATTTCGAATAGTTTATAGAGACCGACGCATAGAAAGCCGATAAAGACAACAAAGCTGTACAGCAATTTATAGGACGAATGAGGGGAGAACATGAGAGTAAAATTCCGACGCCAGGTGAGCGTTTTAGTTATGTAGTAACCCATCCTGACATGACCTTCGATTTACGTGGTAGAAAATTAACGCTAACGAAAGGCGAAAGAATGGAATTCGTTGATGTGGTGAAGGAATTGGATAAGGAGCTAGATTTATATCATTATTTCGAAAAAACTATTATTGGCCTCTGTGCCCGATTTATCATGTATGATAAGAAGTACGAGCCAGCTCTCTCAGATAAGATAATGCAAATCAAGGATCCGGATGAGAAATATAAACAAATAGATGATTATGCACAAAAGAAGGTCAAATCATGGCTTGAGGGTTTCGTGAAGGAGAATATCATAGTCAATGGTGTTACTTCCAAGATGATAGGATCCCGTGGGATTGTTTATAAGCGTGCTTACAGAAATGCAGTTAAAAAAGCGCAAGAAATATTATATCAAAAGATAGGCGGTTTATACGAAATATTCCATGGCGAATGGCTTAACTATGAGATTTTTATGAAAAGTAATCCTATCAAGATATTATGGGGGAGATTCATAAAATGCGTTATAAAAATTACAAAAGATAAAAACCTCTCAGTAGATGACGAAATGAAGGAAAAAATATGCTCTGATTTTGCTCGATATCCTAATGAGCTTGTAAAATGTATTGAAGAGTATAATTTATTCTTTCACAAATTAGTCTATCATATGCGTTACAAAGAGCATGTATCAATTCCAGAAGAAATCGGCCCAGTTTCATCCATGCGAAAAAATGAGATAATTGCTAACCTACCAGCTTTACCTCACATATCAGAAATTGAGGCGCTAGATAACATTAGTAATTTATGGTATTTCTATCTTGAGGATATAACTGGGCCAGAGGCGTTAGCAAAGTACTTAAATAAATAATATTATTAAGTATTCTAGTGGAGGTGTGACAATTTCAACTAAGTACTTATAATATTATTTACATATTTTTTTTTCGTGCAATAATACCAGCTAACTTCAATTCCTATCTTCGAATTTCCAGCCTAGAATGATCACTCCAAACTTCTGGCCTCTGATCATACAGCCTGACCTCGGAAATACCTGAAGATGATTTGGGATGATCATTAGTATTTTCCGAGATGACCAATCCTGGCAATTTTTCGTGGGCAAGATATCGCTCAGTTTTTTTCCATGTATTCAATAGTTTTTTCACAACAATGATCAATATAATTATGATTAATAGAAAGAATATTATTGAATAGGCAAACATAGATGACAATAATTTGTCCGTAG